CACATCGATTTTTAGAGCAAACAAAAAAAAAAAAAGAGAAGAAATGCAATAACATTTAACTTGGAATAAAAATACATATATATATATATATATATCGTATGTCTTTGTTTCTTCCCGTAGCTTTCTCGAAAATTATATTTTAAGATTTATGTACATACATATTTATAAATAACGTATTCAAATTAATATGTTCAGTAAGAATATGATGGATAAACACATGAGGTAATAAAAACAATCACAATAATTCTTAAATCTCTATCTCAAACCTAGAAATGTACACTCAATTATAAGACTTTACAACAGCTAGCATATTTTGTGTTAAATACTGCAGATATAAAGAATGAAAAAAAAACATGCAGATCAAACAAGATAAATCATGCTCTAATGATAACTACAATATAGTTGAAAATAAAATGAGTAACTGTTTTTGGTCACAGAATAAAAAGATTAAAATTTTGAATAAGAAATACAAACTTGTTCTTACAGTCACCTGCGATGCATCATTTCCATTTGGAAATGCAAATATAAGAATTTAATGATTACATAAATAATTATTTTTTATACAATTTTGTTTGTTTGAAGCTAAGAACAAATCTAGACAATAACTTCACATTTTTTTACTTTAATTTGAGAAACACAAAATAAAGTCTTTTGTCTTTTTGGATTAACCATTTTTCAAAATAGAAAGCCTCGAAAATTTTCTCTTCTGTAGCCCAAGTTGGACAGCTTTGACAAGTTCAATCCAATAAGTCTGACTCTGTGACTTTTTTTTGCCTCCATGTAGTTTCTGCTATGTTTCTAATATTGAAGCCTATTTGCACATGTTTTGAAAGTAGCTTGCTGTCATTTGTTGGCCGTGAGTTTTAATTAGTGTTTAATTCTGGTGTAGGTAGGGTATTACAAGAAGAATTTCGGAGAATACTAAGGTCATAAAACACCTTAGTTTAACATACGATATTAGTCATTTATAGAATATCTTAGAAGCTGTCCTCTAAAACCGTGTTTTTAGTTGGGGTTTTTCTATAAGCTTTAAATGACAAGTCCAAACCAGAACTACATTTCGTTTTTATGGAAATCACAAAAATTCTAGATAAATATTATTTAACTTTTATTGCAGAGTCTTTTTATTTTTCGGTTCACAACAATGACCTAAAAATATAACAGTTGAACTAATGCTGTACGTGTCCGTATACTGGTTAGCATATTGGGCTGCGAGTCTCCAGATCCTAGGTTCGAACCGCTATATACCAGTGAAAATCTTTTACGCTTTCATGTGTGATGCTTCATTACTATGACAATACAACCCACCATTCAGTTAAGAGTAACCACATATTAAGAATAATGGTATTATTATTATTACTACCTGATTTTCTCATATATGACTAAACTCTAAGGATCTTTGACCTGACAACTTGGGTAGCGAATACAAAAGTGCTGTTCAGAATAAGAGTATCAAATGTTTAGTCATATAGAAACTGACTGTGATAACAAAACGATAAAAATTACCTTTGCTAACGTTAAAAAAAAAAGTGAAATAAGGGTCTTTTTGTGGCGATATTTAAATGAGTTTTATTCGATTATTTAAGAAACTTCCACAATGAAATATATACTCTGATTTAATTTAATTGTCTGTTATTCTTTGCTATTTTTTTCTGTAAAATACTTTGTTTGTTGTTAAGCACAATGCTTACAATAAGCTGTCTGTTCTCTATTTACCACGGGTATCAAAGCCTGGTTTTTTAGCATTGTTAATCTTCAGACTTACCGCTAAACCACATTGGTGGAGCTTGTGAAATGGTTTTTAATGCTCGAACAAGGAAACTAAAACTATTCACTCTCTTATAGGTTGCGGTATGAAAAAGACACGTCTGGAACGCCAGAATTCTGATGTCCTTCCACACACCCAGTTGCCCAATCAAAATGATTCATATCCTATTGTCGCTATTGTTGGTGGATATTTTGCAACACCACATAGCTGGCCATGGGCTGTAAGATAATTGTTTTTTTATATTTTTACTTAACAGTTTATGCTTATTTACTGTAGCCTATAAAAATTAAACCTAGTATCTATAAAAGGCAACTATTAATTTTCTGTTTGCTCAGAAAAGTAAACCTTGTAAAAACCAATTAAATTTTGTAGAGTGCTTGAAAATTGAATGGAAAGTAGAAACGCTACAACCGTGCATTGGAATACTACACTCATTTTATCGTATATAACTTCTGCAGTTATATAAAATATTTGAAACGGCAAGTTTAAATTAAGGGTATATAACAGATTTTACGCGAAAAGTTTAAACTAAGAGTACATTACATATTTTACATGGCTAGTTAAAACGAAGGATTTTACACGATAATGTATGGGTTCACAATTCGTAAAAATATAATCTCTAACACTTTTATATTTTACTTGAATTTACAGATTTTACGCGAAAAATTTAAACTAAGATTACATTACATATTTTACATGGCTAGTAGTTAAAACGAAGAATTTTACACGATAATGTATGGGTTCACAATTCGTAAAAATATAATCTCTAACAATTTTATATTTTACTTGAATTTCTCTCCCTTTTTTTTTTTTTTTGCAAAGCAATCTTTCTATCTCTATGTCATTTCATCTTTTCCTCTTTCTGTCTGTGTATTTAGGTTATTTAACTTGGGCAGCTTATTAAAGTAGAATCACAGAGAATG